AAATTAGTATAGATACAAACCCTGCCCTTGAAAGTTTAAGAACATTGGACAAGGGGGTCGATGTTTCCTGTTCGATGTTTATTTGGTATAATAACGCAGAAGAAATAAAACAGAAGTGTATCTCTTCTTTTTCAAAGAAGTGTTACATGTAACTGACTCACTGGCATTTACATTTTGGCAAAAAAGCAAAAGGTGGTCTGGTAGAAACGTAAGATATGATTTAAATTTCTGACAATGCTTTTGAGTCCAACTTACATCAGATGTTTTGTGACAACGTGTGTATGTATGTTGAATCTCTTTTAATCCCCACTATTATTATCGGCCGTGGTTGTGTTAGATATTGCATATGGGGAATGAGAGGTTGTTTTTGTAATAGTTCAGTAAAATAATTCTTCATTGATGACATGGAGAAAATCATAAGTAAAACATTTGTAAAATTGCTTTAAACTAAATATTAATCTTTGTTATAAAGTTTCAATGTCATTGTCATTTCTTAAAGATTTTTTGATATTTTTTGACTATATAAAAAGAGTTTACAAAAGATCCTTTAAATTTAAAAAAGGAAATTATGATTTTTCGGATAATAATGACGTGGTACATAGTGCATGGTTATTAAAAAAATGAAAAACTGTTCAACTAGAAAAACTGTTTCAATTATGTTACAGCTGAGAATGATACAAAGATAATTTTTTTCTACATTTTGCACCACATCTTGCAGCATAGCCTATTCTAAAGAAACCATTGGCATTAACACATGATAAAGATCAATGGTATCTGCACGTGGTTCGGTCATATTTATTTCAGACTGTCTTCAAAGCAATATTAATAAATGATTTTTAAAAAAGTTAATTAGAGATTTTAGTGCATTTGCTCATCAGATGGATTCATCGATGTAATAAAGTCAATGATAAATAATTTTAAGAATTTTTTGAACATGAAAATATACGCCTCTCAAGATTCTAGCTCAGCTTTGAATGTCTTGTGCTTCCATTGCATGAAAATGCCTTCAAAATTGTGAAAGTACTTTTTGAAATGCTAAATTGTTTACGGCCGATAGATGCTTTGCATCAATTTTAAATGTTTAAAATTTATATTGAGTCAATGATATTTTTAGACACTTTTTATGCTGAATATTGAGCAGTGGTGATTGGTTATTTGAAGTTTCTTTGTGGTTTAAAACAGAAGACTTTAGCATAAATCTAGAAGTCTGAAAAGTAAATACTTTTTTACTTTTAACGTGATTTTTTGCGCTATACTTTCGTTTCATTTGAAAATAATTGGATATATATTTTCTTCAAATAACAAGAAAAAATAAAGCTAGTTCCCTGAAATTTTAAAGTTAAATCGTTCTTGCCTAAGTGCATAACCATAAAGAGTTAATTAGATATACATATTTTTTTTCAAATAACAAGAAAAAAAAATAAAGCTTGTTCTGTCAGATCTTAAAGTTAAATCGTACTTTTAGTGTGATATTTTGCGACATACTTTCATTTCATATGAATATAATTAGATATATACTTTTTTCGAATAACAAGAAAAAAAAACTAAACCTAGTTCTCTCAGACTTTAAAGTTAAACCGTTCTTGCCTCAGTGCATAACCATAAAGCGTTAATTAGATATATATTTTTTTCGAATAACAAGAAAAAAAAACTAAAGCTAATTCTCTCACATTTTAAAGTTAAATCGTTTTTGCCTATGTGCACAACCATAAAGTGTTAATTAGATATATTTTTTTTTCGATTAACAAGAAAAAAACCCAAAACTAGTTCTCTCAGATCTTAAAGTTAAATCGTTCTTGCCTATGTGCATAACCATAAAGCGTCTATAAATTGGATACGTTTGTGCAGAGTTTAATTGACTGTGAATTCATAATAATTTGAACATGTTTTAAAAAAACTATGGTTACAGGCACTCTTGTCAAATATTCCCGATACCAAAATAAATTGTCTTTTTTTCTGAAATAAACAATTAACCAGTCGAAAAATTAGATATGTTTTCTACAATCGTAGATATAAGTAATTTTTTGGATTACATGTATTTATTATAAATTGGTTTTGCTAAGAGGATGGAGTTTACCAATATACTCTTATTTATATTTCCCATAATGGGTCTTTCCGTCTATCATAACGAGCCTCTATACCCGTGACCATGCAGACAGAAATATTAGGGGCGTTCAATAAATAATGTCATCAGCTCGATGACATACAAAATAGAAATCATATGACATTGAGATTGACTTTCTCTAATTATTGAATCTTTAATGAATTGATAACAGTTTATGTGACCACTTGTCATCGTATAATTTCATTGTGGGAAGCTGGAAAACAAGGGCTACTCGAGACACTGCATGAAAAATGAATGGCCAAGAATCAGTAAACTAGAGTTAAATTGAACGCGTGATTAAAGCTGCTGTAAAACTTGTTAATTTCCCAAAAATATATTAACTGAAATATGTGAAATTTACAGCAACTTATGTTAGTTTCATACACACATGAACAGGTAGATTTCAATTAACAAAATTATATAATGGACATCAAAAATGGGTACCGTTCTTGTCAACAAGGACATACAACAACCAATGTATATTAGCGATAATTCAACAAATTATCATTGATTATGTTTTATGGACTTTAAGACACATAGAAAATTCGATAGACATCTTTTTGGGGGTAGTTCACACTATTTTAAAGATACATTTGATTGTAAAAAAAAAGTTTAATACTCAAAGGTCACCCTATATTTTTTTAAAAAAATGTGTGAAAACGAGAGCGTGTAGAAAATATAGACAATTATTTTTAAAAAAATAGAAATTGATTTAATCCACGTTTTTCTGAAATTCAAAAATATCATGAAACTTGAATCCATTTTGCATTAACCCCTCAAAACAAATTTAGAATAAGATGTACTTGACAAAACTGCAAAGGCCTAAGAAGAGCAAAAATTTGCAAGAATACACAAACAGTTTTCTAAGCTTTTTTTTTTTAAATATTAGCGGTCTTGTTGTTAAAATTCATATATAGGGAGGCAGTTCAATTTCTGGAGGAGTCTAGTAAGCAAGATATTTGCCAAAATATTTAAAGGTTTCTGAGAGGAAGGAAACAGAATGAGGAATTCACTACAATCAATTTCTTCCTGACAGCGTCCAAACCCACAGGCCATGAAGAGATTAGGGGTAAACAGAAAGTTAATGTTTTGTCACATCAACAATATTCGCCAAATATTTCAACCTCTGTATTGTTTCATTTCCCAAACTTAGGAAAAAACATTTCAGAAAGAAAAAAAACAAGTACAGCAAATTATAGGATCTGCCATTTTCCAGTATACGAAGGGTCACACTCAAAACTGTGTTCTAAAAACAATTAGAAATGGACTTAAAATGTTACTGACATGTTTTTTTATTAAAAGAGAATATTTAAGTTAAATCATGAAGACAAAATCATAGAAAAGCGTTTTTTGTTTCTTTCCGAGCTCCGATGACATTATTTATTTAACGCCCCTCGTAACCTTTTTCTTGTTTAATTCCATAAACCCTTTCCAGTGCGAGTTGACAATTGTAACAAGCATCAATTTGTGCACACTAATGAGGAACAAGTGAGATTCAAACAGGCTTAAATACCCCACAACCATCGGTTGCTATGTTAAAAATGCAACTTTCGTTAAAAAGAGAGTGTTCGCATTGTTAAACGCAATGGTAGAAAATTTATTTAACTTCAAAACATGCAAGAATGACAGTTTCTGTTCATTTTAATACCCACCATGACTTGCGGTTCAAACACCTTGCATGGTATCAGATGAAATTTTTTTAGGGTATCCGCTGCAGAAAATATAGCGTAATTTCACTTTAATAGTGAGGTACAAGTATTATAACGGAATTTTCCCCCAATCTGTTTATCTCTCATATTTTTTCTTAGTTATTTTTTTTTCAATAATGTGGAAATGACTGGAGAAAATGTAAAAACTTCTTGGAAATACTAAGTAAATCTTTGCCTTCGGTTTATCGAGATTTTCACACCTGATCTGTATCGAATGATTTTGACTGACTGGACAAGCACGTGGACTTCGTGTGAACCGTATGGACCGTGTGAACTTGAAGAAGGAAAATAAAAGTCAATAATGACTGCAAAATGTACTTGTTAATTCAAAAAATGATCATTTTCACCGCCTGAAATATTTAAAAAAAATAAAATAATCAGAATTTTTATTCGATACAAAAGATCATCTGAGAAAGGAGGGGGCTACTCTCTCTCTCTCTCTCTCTCTCTCTCTCTCTCTCTCTCTCTCTCTCTCTCTCTCTCTCTCTCTCTCTCTCTCTCTCTCTCTCTCTCTCTCTCTCTCTCTCTCTCTCTCTCTCTCTCTCTCTCTCTCTCTCTCTCTCTCTCTCTCTCTCTCTCTCTCTCTCTCTCTCTCTCTCTCTCTCTCTCTCTCTCTCTCTCTCTCTCTCTCTCTCTCTCTCTCTCTCTCTCTCTCTCTCTCTCTCTCTCTCTCTCTCTCTCTCTCTCTCTCTCTCTCTCTCTCTCTCTCTCTCTCTCTTTATATGGCTCTCTCTAGATCTCACTCTCTCACACATTTATATGTTCAATAAAAATTATCACAAAATATTAGTTTAGTTCTGAAAAGTAATCTATCAAAATTATATGAATGCCTCTTTTCATCATCTTAGAATGTCGAATAGAATCACAGTAGATTATTTCTATTGTTATACTACACGCATTCGGGAACATTTGCTTTTTACGGCAATGCGTTTCCGATCCGTTCGCGTTCTGTGTTCACTCACCGTTCACACATCGTTCACCAAGTTGCGTTCACCGTTCACACATCGTTCAATGACCGTTCGTCCTGCGTTCGTTCACCGTTCAGGTGGGAAAGTTCAGGGACTGTAACTAATTTGTCCAAACGAATAACTAATTTGTCCAAACGAATAACTAATTTGTCCGAACAAATAACTAATTCGTCGGAACAAATTTCTAATTTGTTCGAACGAATGAAAATATTTTTTTACATGGCCCTCCAGCGGCGCTGTATGATAAACACAATGCTGAAAAAAAATAAATTCGAAATAAAAAAAATGAAATAAAAATCTTAAAATGGAATAAAAAAGAAATACTTTTTGTAATAAGTATTTAATTTTAATTTGAGCACAAACACAAAAAAGGATATATACTTTTAGGTTTTGTTTATAATGTTGAATTATAAATGATCGAAGGAAAAGCTTCTCTTGTCTTAGATAAAAAAGTTCGCTTGCAGCAATGCCTTTTGCATGCTTTTAATGTTCATGTATGTTAAATACTTATTGTACATAAATGATTTATCGTACTTTGTTAACTTCCAAAAAGTAATTGCATGTAATGTATATTTCTCTCAAAGTTTTCAATAAACCAAAAAAAGGGCTCAGGGGCATTTAATATTTGTTAAATGTGTTCATTTTTAAATTGATTGCAGTCTATTTAACTAGAATGTAATTAGATCATATAAACTAATGCGCTATAAAAGTATCTATTTTTATGATAAATACGAAGGACGTTCAATAAATAATGACAAAACAGCAAATGTCTGAAAAGAACAAAGATTACCAGAGCTGCAAATGTGCTTCAGAATCACATGAACCGAATTGTTCATCAGTTTCAGTATTTAAGAGCACATAAATAATGACAAAACAGCAAATGTCTGAAAAGAACAAAGATTAACAGTTTTATGTGCTAATTTCTTAAACATTAGTGGTTGTGGTGTTCAAATTCTTATTGTGGGGTAATTTCAATTTCTGGAAGAGTCTAGAAAGATTTTTTTGCGAACAAGTGAACAGTTTATGAGTTTAAGGAGCCAAAATAAGGAATTCACTACATTAAATTTTTCCATGACAGCGTCCAAACCCACAGGCTATGAAGAGAAAAGGAGTTCTGTGGATAAAAAGAAAAGCCTATTTTGTCACACCAACAATATTTATCAGCACTTTCAATCTTTGACTTGTTTCATTTCCCAAACTTGAAAAATAAACACCTTTCATAAAAAAAACAAGTACATGCAATAATAGGATCTGGTATATTCCAGTATACGAAGGGTCATACTAAAAATGTGTTCTAAAAACAATTCGAAATGAAATAAATATGGTACATACATGTGTTTTAATTAAAAGTGAATATTTTAGCTTAATCATCAGGACTTAATCATTGAAAACCGTTATTTGTTTCTTTCCGAGCACCGATGACATTATTTATTGAACAGCCCTCGTAAGAAGGATATGGAGATAATCTATATGCAGACTATTTTGCAATAGTTTTTAACAATCGTGCAACTTTACACATCCTGTTATCTTTTGCATGTAACATGCATAATAAGACAAGGCTCTACTAAGATGGGCATATATGTATCTATAAGGATGTCAATTTTTAAGATTCGATATCCACATTTCAAGATAAGAAAAGTTTTCCAAAATCCATTTAAGAATAAAAGTTAAGGCCAGAAATTATGCAAGTATTCTTATGATTTATAATACTTATGTTGAATAAGTCAGTGTTGCAAATATAAATTGCTTATACAGTATATTTATCTGAAATCAAAATGAAATCATTTGTAATTAAATTTCAAGTTGCATTAACTTGGGGAAAAGTCACAAAATGCTCCAATTTCAGAGTCGAATTTTATTATCATTCAAAGTATGATACACTAGATACAGCAAACTTTTAACTACTGCAAGTATATCCTTAGGTGGTGTTCATATAAAGAGACATAACATAGTGATAATATCATGTAACTCATTGCACAACATGTTCAATGTCCGCAGAATATCTTCTATTAGTGAATATTATTTAACAGCTATAGCCATCAATGAATCATATTTTAGTTTCACAAGTCAGTAGTAGGTGAGATACGTGCACTATTAGGTTTTTCTCGATTGTTTATACTAGGGCGATGTAAAATGTCAAAGATATTCCTTAAAATTATCTACATATTTAATTTTACCATCTCCAATAGCAATAATCATGGTCTTTCTTATTTGTTAGGGGGATCAGTATACAGTTCCTATTTTGAAGTCAGTTAATATTTCCATTGCAAATACATTAAATTTTTAAAAGAAAATATCACCGTTGATTTTAACTTTGATAAAAAGTAAGAAAGTGATTTATTTCACTGTACCTTATAACCCAAAAATATGTTTCCATAAATAGAAATCAACTGTTATAAGAATATAAAGATTTTTGCCAGTTAAAGTTTATAATGATACTGAAATGGGCAAAATGATTATAACTTAATACTGAACATTATAATATATAACAGGAACTGCATGGGCTTAATGCTTTTGTCTTTTTAAAAATAGTGCATCCTGAATCACCAAAGTCATGTGTTCTTTTTTGGATTGATATGGAGATAACGAACATTATTCAATCTCAAAGTCCATAAAACAATACAAAATAAGAGCAGAGCAAACACGGACCCCCGAAACATCAGAGGTGGGATCAGGTGCCATGGAGGAGTGAGCATTCCCTGCCGACCGGTCACACCCGCCGTGTGCTCCTTGTCATGATCAGGAATTAAAGGAAAAGATCCGTCGTCTATTCAGTGTACAAATAATGGACTAAAAACCGATATGAAAAACGTCAGTCAGCATTTGACTCAATGACAAATCGTATTTGCTGACAAGGTCATTGTCTCGACCATATAGAAAGTACGAAATGATGATTTTAAACGATTTTTTTCTCTTTAATTTATCTTAACCCATGGATGTATTTTGCTGCAAAAGTTACTGATTTCTGGAAATTATAGCCTAAAAGTATAGTCATTTGCGCATTAAAATCCACTGGAATAAAAGACATATTACTCACCTGCCGTCAAGAAAAAGGTCATTTGGTATTTCAACTTAATCATGATGAAGGTAGAGTCAGGTAATATCAGTAATCAACAGAGCTCTGGACTACAGCTATGTACAAGAAAACAACGACCTTCTCTTTGAATAGATTGATTGTGTAAACTATAATTAACTTTCAACAAAATTTTATACAAGTTATCTATGTCGTTTTAATAGAGGTACAATTAAAGCTCAATTTATAGATGTTTGACAAATTTCTAAACAGGATACGAACAATACTTTCAGCCATAATTTAAATAATTGGACTACAAATTTTACGTTTGAGAGATCGTGAGAAGAAGAAGACGGCGAGTGTCACAACATTACCCCTCAATGGTGCCTGATTCTATCTCTATGCTTCAAAGGGTTCATATTTGCTTCAAATTTTTTTTTATTACAATCGACATTTGACAATACTACGGTTTCTTTTTTCTTTAGATTTCCATCCATTAAGGGACAAAAAATAAACTGAAATGGCCAGAAATGTTTTAAAAATTTTCTGTATTAATAAGGTGTAGTGCACGCAAATATTATTCAGCAAAAGAAGTGCAAATTATTTTTTAAAGAAATTCAAATATCTGCAGCAATTGACACTACTGGCTTTTAAAACCCCTGTCCGTATGAAAATCCACTGTCTTTCTCTGTATCCTACAGCATTTTCACAGTAATCTACGGTATATCTACAGTATGCTACGGTATGCTAGCTCTGTATATACAGTAAATCTCTGTATGCCACTGTATGTATCCCCAGCATGCCACAGTTACATACAGTAGGCCCCGATACGCCTACAGTATGCCACTGTATGGCTACTGTTTTCTACAGACAACTACGGTAAACCCCAGTATATGCCCCAGTGCGCCCCTGTATATGTTCATTGAAGCAAAAAGAAGTTTATAAACTCCCAGAGCACTGTACGGTTACCTAAGATGTGGGATTATCAATTTAGTACACAGAGTTACTTACCTAAGAAATTTTTGAACATTATTTTAAACACATAGTAGTATTTTTTTAATTTGTTAAGAGACTTATTGTGTTCTTTTATAACTCTGAAATAACTATTAAAAATTGATTAATCATTGCTTCAAAGAATATTTATCTATCAATTTTTAAAATTAATTATTTAAGTATTCTTTGGTTTGATTTATTAGTTAATTAATTAATTTATTTATTCTGAGAACACTTATTTAATCCTTAAAATACTTGGAGTGACTTTGTAACTTTTGTGAAAAAAAAAAAAAAACACAGCCGCGCTAATTCTTGTTTTATTTTTAACTTATTGATGTTCTTTTAAAAAACATTTAATCTAATTTACAGTTCAGTTCAGTTTTATTGAAGTCGAGAGACATACATCTCATAGACATAACACATGTAATAATGAAATAAACATACATCTTTTAAAACACGTGCAATAATGGAATAAACATACAACGTACATGTGCAAAGCATATAATATTTCCGATAATCTATAAAATTGATAAAGATGCTGTTCTTGAGGCATTCGTTAATTGCAAAAATTTTCCTAAATTACATAATTCTTTTATATTCTGTGTACTGAGTAGTTGTACCAATTTGAAGACGCTTGGTCGTCGGGAGTAGTAGTATTTAATGTATTTTTGTCTTAATGTGTTGTAATGTATGTAATCAATCATTGCATAAAAACTTTTTTCTTATTTCTAAATTGAATACACAAACAAAATTATTAATTTTATACCCGAAAGCTGGATTTATTTTGCTAATTTTATGTAAACAATTTTACACTAAAATGTGTTTCAAAGTCTTTTTGAAGCATATTTAAACTACTTTTAATTATTTTACTTCCGTGTTGGATATCAAAATAATCGTCTCATTATGCACAATCTTAACCCGTCAATAGCTTTTTTGATACTTTTATTTTGTTTTGATTGAAAAAATCGGTTCTCATACAAAGAGAAAATGTTATTTCAAACAGCCTCAGATAGGACACGGTCGCTCTCTGTCACAAAATAAACAAGGTATAGTGGTCAGTGAAAAAGACAATAGGTGTCATTACTGTGTACCCAGAGTCACTTGTAAACAATCAATGGCTTTGAAGTTATTTCATAATCGTGTTAGGGTTTTGAAAACCGATTTTTTTTTCAATCAAAACAAAGTAAAATTATCAAATTCCAATTGACAAATAAAAATTGTGCATAATATGACAATTATTTGATATCCATCATGGACGTGAAATAACTGAAATTTGTTTTAATATGCTTAAAAAATACTTTGTAACATAGTTTAGGATAAAAATATTTATACTAAAAACCCTAAAAAATCTCATTTTCGGGGATATAAATAATTGATTATTTTGTTGTTTTGTCAATTTAAAAAAATATAATTAAAAAGTTTGACATTTTTATGGTGATAAATTAATTATTTATTTTATTTATTTACCATTTATTTATTTTTCTAACACCAGTTTAATCCATAAAATAATTGGAATGGCTTTTTTGTACCTGTTGGAAAAAAATTACACACAAACACCTACACAACAAAAGTAATGCTGCATTTAAAAAAAAAGTTTTTAAAATCAATCCAATAATTGATTTTTAAATGGTTAGTGAATAAATAAATAAAACTGATTTAAAACACGTATTTAATCATTGTAAAAAGAACAATATATTTATCTACTTATTTTTTTAAAAAAATAATTATAATCCCGAAAGTTGGAGTTATTTGGCTTATTTAATGTAAACAAGTTTCCGCTTAAATGTCTCTCAGAGTCTTTTTGAAGCATATTTATACTACTTTTAATTATTTTACTTCCGTGTTGGATATCAAAATAATCGTCTCATTATGCACAATCTTAATCCGTCAATAGCTTTTTTGATACTTTTATTTTGTTTTAATTGAAAAAATTCGGTTCTCCCACAAAGAGAAAATGTTATTTCAAACAGCCTCAGATAGGACACGGTCGCTCTCTGTCACAAAATAAACAAGGTATAGTGGTCAGTGAAAAAGACAATAGGTGTCATTACTGTGTACCCTGAGTCACTTGTAAACAATCAATGGCTTTGAAGTTATTTCATAATCGTGTTAGGGTTTTGAAAACCGATTTTTATTTTCAATCAAAACAAAGTAAAAATATGAAATTCCAATTGACAAATAAAAATTGTGTATAATATGACGATTATTTTGATATCCATCATGGACGTGAAATAACTGAAATTTGTTTTAATATGCTTAAAAAATACTTTGTAACATAGTTTAGGATAAATATATTTATACAGAAAAACCTAAAAAATCTCATTCTCGGGGATATAAATAATTGATTATTTTGTTGTTTTGTCAATTAAAAAAATATAATTAAAAAGTTTGACATTTTTATGATGATAAATTAATTATTCATTTTATTTATTTACCATTTATAATTCATTTTTCTAACACCAGTTTAATCCATAAAATAATTGGAATGGCTTTTTTGTTCCTTTTGGAGAAAAAAAAATTACACAAACAAACACCTACACAACAAGATAATGCTGCATTTTAGAAAATTTAAGTTTTTAAAATCAATTCAATAATTGACTTTTAAATGGTTAGTGAATAAATAAATAAAACTGATTTAAAGCACGTATTTTATCATTGTAAAAAGAACAATATATTTATCTATTTATTTTTAAAATTGACGATACAAACAAATTAATTAATTATAATACTGAAAGTTGGATTTATTTGGCTTATTTAATATAAACAAGTTTCCGCTAAAATGTCTCTCAAAGTCTTTCTGAAGCATATTTATACTACTTTTAATTATTTTACTTCCGTGTTGGATATCAAAATAATCGTCTCATTATGCACAATCTTAACCCGTCAATAGCTTTTTGATACTTTTATTTTGTTTTGTTTTGTTTGACAAAAAACGGTTTTCTCACAAAGAGAAAATGTTATTTCAAACAGCCGCAGAGTGGACACGGTCGCTCTCTGCCACAAAATAAACAAGGTATAGTGGTCAGTGAAAAAAACAATAGGTGTCATTACTGTGTACCCCATGTCACCTGTAAACAATCAATGGCTTTGAAGTTATTTCATAATCGTGTTACGGTTTTGAAAACCGATTTTTTTTTTCAATCAAAACAAAGTAAAAATATGAAATTGCAACTGACAAATTAAAATTGTGCATAATCTGACGATTATTTTGATATCCATCATGGATGTAAAATTATTGATATTTGTTTTAATATGCTTAAAAAAATACTTTGTACATGTAGCATATTTTAGGAGAAATAATTTTCATATAAAAATAAAACTTAAAAAATCAATTGGGGGGTTGGGGGTGTATATTTAATCACTTTGTTGTCTTGTCAATTACAAAAATAAATAAATTATTTTTTTTATTTATTTTGTTTATTTGTGTATTTGTAGATAAATTGATAAACAGATTAAATAAATAAGATAAATAATTAGTTTATTTATTAATTCTGTATTTTTAAAGTCATTTATTCTATTTAATTTTCACTTACCACTTCACCTTATTTATTTTGTGCCGTGTCTACTATGCAGCTCTGCATTTGTCAAGAAATAGATTGATTTGTTTTTAAAATGATTAATTTCATGCTGTTAATTAATTACATTTATTTTTTCAAAGAAACTATATCAATTTTAAAAGCTACATTTTTCCAAAATGCAGCATTACCCCGGTCGCGTTTTTTTCTTCAAAAGTTACAAAGTCACTCCAGGTATTTTATGGATTAAATAGGTGTTTGCAAAATAAATTAATTAATTAATTAACTAATAAATCAAACCAAAGAATAATTTAATAATTGATTTTAAAAATTGATAAATAAGTATTTTTTGAAGTAACGATTTATTATTTCTTAATAGTTATTTCAGAGTTATAAAAGAACACAATAAGTCTCTTAACAAATTAAAAAAAGATACTGCTATGTGTTTAAAATAATGTTCGAAAATTTCTTAGGGTAAGTAACTCTGTGTACTAAATTGATAATCCCACATCTTAGGTAACCGTACAGTGCTCTGGGAGTGTGTAAACTTCTTCTTTTTGCTTCAATGAACATATACAGGGGCGTACTGGGACATATACTGGGGTTTACCGTAGTTGTCTGTAGGAAACAGT